GACCAGGTGGGGGTAGGTACCCATCAGAGCCTTGCAGAACGGGGTTCGAACCAGGTGGGGGTAGGTACCCATCAGAGCCTTACAGAACGGGGTTCGTACCGGGTGGGGGTAGGTACCCACCAAATCCTTGCAGAACGGGGTTCGTACCAGGTGGGGGTAGGTACCCACCAGAGTCTTGCAGAACGAGACTCGTTAAAAACCTTGCAGAACGGGGTTCGTACCGGGTGGGCGTAGGTACCCACCAGAGCCTTATAAAATAAGGTTTATACCGGGTGGGGGTATGTACCCACTAGAGCCTTGCAGAACGGGGTTCGTACCGGGTGGGGGTAGGTACCCACCAGAGCTTTACAAAATAAGGTTTGTACCAGATGAGGGTAGGTACTCATCAGAATCTAGCAAAAATGCAGATTCGTACCGGGTGGGGGTAGGTACCCACCAGAGCCTTATAAAATAAGGTTTGTACCAGATGAGGGTAGGTACTCATCAGAATCTAGCAAAAATGCATATTCGTACCAGGTGGGGGTGGGTACCCACCAGAGCCTTATAAAATAAGGTCTGTACCGGATGAGGGTAGGTACTCATCAAAACCTAGCAAAATGCATCAGGTAGAGTAAAATACTCACCATAGCATTACAAAAAAGGGGTTGCAAATACCTTGCTTCTATTAGAGGATAGTTCAAGTGTTGAGCACCTCGGAAGTAAGTACCCACAAGAGTTTAGCAAAATGCAAACTCGTACCAGGTGAGGGTAGGTACTCACCAAAGCCTTGTAGAACAAGGTTCATACCATGTGGGGGTAGGTACCCACAAGAACCTTATGGAATATGGTTTAGAATCTAGCAAAGAGCAAGATTCATACCTAGTGGGGGTAGGTACCCACAAGAGTCTAGTGAAATACAGACTCGTACCTAGTGAGGGTAAGTACTCACCAGAGCCTTATAAAGTAAGGCTCAAACCAGATAGGGGTTTGTACCTATCAAAAATATTTATCATCCGGAGGATCAGCAAAGGAGCATCTGAAGGATAACGGGGCAAAAGGGTTAACTCCTTCCCCTACCAACTAATTTTGTCGGCATATTAAGCCAACAAATTAGCTAGGCAGGTGAAGGGGGGGCAGCTGTAGACCCCTAATTTTGCCCGGCTTCTCAATAAAGGCTAGGGAGACTTCACATAACAAGATAAAGTTCGCCCGACCGAGGTCGACCGACCGAGCTTACCGACCGGACCGACCGAAGTCGACCGACCGGATCAGCCAAAGTCGACCGACCGAGGTCGGCCGACATGTAGCCACGGCATGGAATCACCCATGACCGGCCACGGGAACATGTATTGGAAGGGTCAAGGCAACCGTGGGACATGGGGGGGAGAGTCCCGTGGCAGCACCAGACTTGCCAGTGTGGGTGGCAAAGTTGAGGTGCACACCCCCCCCCCCCCCCTATAATAGGCTAATATGCCATTTTGAAAATTGTACAAGTAGATACACTTTTTATGAGTAGACATAAGTCCCAAAAATGGACCTAGAGATCGAATTTTGATGCGAATTTTTGCAGTATTCCTTATAACAATAACATAACCCTGTTTCCCAAATTTGGAAATTTAAATCAAATGGGGAGTATTTTTTTTAATTTTTCAAAGTGTCGAAATGCGAAAAATCGGGAAAAATGGAAAATGGTATCTAGAGATCGAATTTTGATGCGATTTTTTGCATGCAATCCCATATTAATATTTCCAAGCTACCCTCCAAATTTCATTTCAATCGGACAAAGCATTGAATTTCTATGATTTTTCATATGAAGCGGGCAACACCCAAGTTTGAAAAAAGGCTTCAATATGGATGTCTTATGCCCCAACACTTTCCCAGTATATTGAGGGGTCTAATTTAAGTTTATTGGTGCAACCAATATGAAATTGGCTCGGGGAAAATAAAATTTGACCCATGACACCAAATCTGACCATGTCAGCCAACTAACCACGACCAAGCACCAAGCATCAGCACCAGGATCGGCACCAACGCACCAAGACCAGAGACCGGAACCAAGCACCACCAAACCGACCGTGGCACCATGCACCGACAAAACCGACCGAGCCGGTCACCACCAAACCGACCGAGGCACCATGCACCAGCAAAATCCGACCGAGCTAGTCACCACCAAACCGACCGAGGCACCATGCACCGAAGAAATCTGACCGAGCCGATCACCACCAAACCGACCGAGCCACCATGCACCAGCCAAATCCGACCGTGCCAGCCTAATTGACCACGACCAGCACCGATGATCAAGACCAGGATCGGCACCGACGCACCGGGACCAGGACTGGAACCAGCACCACGGTGCACCAAGACCAAGCACCACCAAACCGACCGTGGCACCATGCACCGCCAAACCGACCGAGGCACCATGCACCATGCACCACCAAACCGATCGAGGCACCATGCACTAGCCAAATCGACCGTGCCGACCAACCGACCACGACCAAGCACCAACATCAGCACTAGGATCGGCACCAACGCACCGGGACCAAGCACCGGACCAAGACCAGCAGCGCACCAAGACCAAGCGCCACCAAAACCGATCGTGGCACCATGCACCAGCAAAAACCGACCGAGCTAGCCACCACCAAACCGACCGAGGCACCATGCACCGACCAAATCTGACCGTGCCAGCCCAATTGACCACGACCAAGCACCAAGTATAAGCACCAGGATCGGCACCGGTATAAGCACCAGGATTGGCACCAGAACCAGCACCACAGTGCACAAGGACTAGAACCACCAAAACTGACCATGACACCATGCACCAGCCAAACTGATCGAGGCACCATGCACCATGCACCACCAAACTGACCGAGGCACCATGCACCAGCCAAATCTGACTGTGCCAGCCAACTGACCACGACCAACACCAACATCAGCACCAGGATCGACACCAACGCACCAGGACCAACGACCGGACCAAGCACCACAGACGCACCAAGACCAGCGCCACCAAAATTGACCAGTGGCACCATGTACCGAGAAACACTGATCGAGCCAGCCACCACCAAACCGACCGAGGCACCATGCACCAGCCAAATCTGACCGTGCCAGCCAACCGACCACGACCATGACCAAGCATCAAGCACTCGGATCGGCACCAAAGACTCACCAGGACCAAGCACCGAACTAACACCACGATCAGCACCAAGACCAAGACCACCAAACCGACCGTGGCACCATGCACCACAAAACCGACCGAGGCACCATGCACCAGCCTAAATCCGACCGTGCCACCCAACGTACCACGACCAAGACCAAAGATTAGCACCAGGATCGGCACCAGCCAGCACCAGGATAAGCACCGGACCAAGCACCACAGCAGCACCAAGACCAAGACCACCAAAACCGACCGTGGCATCATGCACCAGCCTAAAACCGACCGAGCCAGCCACCACCAACACCGACCGTGGCACCATGCACCAAAGAAACCGACCGAGCTAGCCACCACCAAACCGACCGAGGCACCATGCACCAGCCCAAATCCGACCGTGCCAATCACCACCAAACCGACCGAGGCACCACGCACCAGCCAAATCCGACCGTGCCGTAGAACTCACCAGGACCAAGACCAAGATAAGCACCAAGATCAAGACTAGTGCACCAGACCAAGATCGGACCACGCCACATACTCACCAAGACCAAGACCACCAAAACCGACCGAGCTAGCCACCACCAAATTGACCGAGGCATCATGCACTAGCCCAAATCCGACCGTGCTGTAGAACTCACTCAGACTCAAGACCATGGCACCAAGACTAAGACCGGACCAAGCACCATAGCGCACCAAGACCAAAGACCACCACAAAATTGATCGAGCTAGCCACCACCAAACCGATCGAGGCACCATGCACCACCAAATCTGACCGTGCCGTAGAAATCACCACGATTAGCACCAAGATAAGCACCACCATCAAGCACCACGGCACCAGGACCACCACCAGGATCAAGCACCATAGCGCACCAAGACCAAGACCACCAAATTGACCGAGGCACCATGCACCACCCAAATCCGACCGCGCCGTAGAACTCACCAGACCAACACCAAAGATAAGCACCACGATCAAGACCAAGACACCAGGACCACGACCGGACCAAGACAACAAAGGCACCAAGACCAAGACCACCAACACCGACCGTGACACCATGCACCAACAAAAACCGACCGAGCCAGCCACCACCAAACCGACCGAGGCACCATGCACCAGCCTAAATCCGACCGAGCCAGCCACCACCAAACCGACCGAGGCACCATGACCAAGACTAACATAAGCACCGGAGCACCATGACTAGCACTGACCAAGCACCATAGCGCACCAAGACCAAAGATCACCACAAAATTGATCGAGCTAGCCACCACCAAACCGACTAAGGCACCATGCACCAGCCAAATCTGACCGTGCTGTAGAAATCACCACGATTAGCACCAAGATAAGCACCACCATCAAGCAAGCACTCAGGCACCAGGACCACCACCAGGACCAAGCACCACCAAAGCCGACCGTGGCACCATGCACTCACCCAACTCGACCGTGCTGTAGAACTCACCAGACTCAAGACCATCACGATTTTGATCTG